TCAATTCCATTATTGGCAAAATTTTGAGTAAGTCTGGAATAACTTGGCTATGTAAAATTTTCTTTTTCCACCAGATTTTATAAAAGCTAAATAGAGATCAAGTATTTCTCATAAAAAATTTTTGTCCGAATTGAGATGTGCTTTAAGGGCAAAATGCACACCAGATTTTGAAGACTTACTACAACAACAAAAAGAATATATAATAGCTCATTAATACTTTTTTATATTGTTGAAATGATAATATATTAGCTATATTAGCTGAAATAAAATATTTTATTAACATCAATTTCCCCTGTATCTTTTTATTTCTTTTAATATGGCTACTGGCACATTTAAAATTACATATACAGCTCTCATATTTCTACTGGTGTGCAGCAGTTTAACTCACTCTGTAAAACGTTCCCTAAGAAATAAAATAATTTAAATAATCCTTTATTTCTCATGGACCAATTTTGTGACAGATGCTGGAGTAAGTACCTTGTAAATGTTATCATAGTTAAACCTTATAATCCAGCAAAGTAGGGGTTATTATCACCATTTTATAGATAAGAAAATGGAGACTCAGAGTGGTTAAGTGACTTGCCCAGGATCACACAGCTAATAAACAGCAGAGGATGAGTTGAGCTCACATCTGCTCCTTCTCCAAGAATTAGGAGGCTGAATAGACTGTTATTTATCAAGATGTTATTTATCTTGAGATGAAAGCTGCTATGCAAATTAACACTGAATGCATTTATAAGGAAAAAAAGAAATAAAGCCACAGGTAATCAAAAATCTAAATGAAAAGGATATTCCCATACTGATGATTTTTTTTTCTTTTTAAATTTTTCTTCTCTCTTCCTTTCTCTCTCTCCTGCCACTGCTTTGTCAACTAACCCATACTGAGTAATATGAAGAATTATCTGCCTGGAAACTGCCTAGACTCTGCCTATTTTACCTCTGATCAAAGGTGGAAATAAAGGTATATTCGATACTTAAAAGGGGGCTAGTGCAGCAGAATTCTAACTCTATCTAAAGCCAGAGTCCAACTTCTCACTCAACATAAAATGGTCTGACCTTCTCTGCTAAGAGGCTACATAATTCATTTGAGCCGCATGTCACTCTCTTCCAGAGTTTACCAACTCCCCTAGCTTTAGCAATGAGCAAGCCATCCACTCAAGGAACACATCTCCCAGTGTTAAATCTATGTGCATACCGCAGCAGAATGGAAACAAGCCTGAGGTACTTACGATAAGAGAATGATTGGTTATGCAAAGAGAAATAATAAAGATAAGGGAATAATTTCCGACCATCCGAGGAATGAATCAAAGGATTAAATATAACTCATTGGCACTACCCGCACAGTAATCCTTGACTGGCACAATGTAGGTGAACAAGCATGAAGAATGCCTCTCGAAGGGGCATTTTTACTGACTTGTATCTGAGCCATATTTTCTAAAGAGAATTTATGTGGCTTATAACCCTTCTTCAGCCAAGATGGCATCCAATTTTTCACATGTAATGGTAGAGATAATGCAAATAGCAACCAACTGCTAGAATGGGAGTCAAACCAAGGGTAGATCGGGAGAGCGCTATTTGTTTACTTTTTTTTTTATTATTTTTTTCATCTTATTTACAAGCTCCTTGGGCTGTGTGACTTGACGAAATCCTTCACTCTCTTACCTTAACCCATCCCTACATTCTGTACAGTTGTGGAATTCAGTACACGTCTTGCAGTTTTCACTGCATTTCCGGCAAAGATTTTTCTCTGTTAAAGAAAAAAAAAGTTATAAATCAGTAGGTAAACTGGATTTCATAAAAGCTTGTGAAGATCTTTTAATGTTTGTTAATGTATGCTATAGTACCCATGCCTTGAGTAGAAAATTGCAGCGAAAGTCCCAGAATCATTGTTTGTTATTATTTCTCAGCAAACCAAATTCAGGTAGGAACTGAAATACTGGGAAACACCTTAGACTTCCTTGCCATTCTGCAGATGAGAGAACTACAGCCCAGTTAACTCTTAGTTGAATAGTTTATAGGCTTTTCCCCTCTTAGTCCCATTCTCTCTCCCAAGTAGGGTTCCCTAGCTTCCAATAATGGAAATTCCACTCATGAAGCCGTGCTAACACCGCTATGTGTGGACTGGAAAGCAACGCTGGAGGCTGCTGAATGGGGCGGTAGATGCCCATGCTTGTAGCTTTTGGGACTATTCTGATGAGCTGTACTGGGAAAGGAAACCTACATTTAAGATTACAAGGTAAGAATTCCTTATTTCATGCATCGTCTAAACTAGTGTCTTGCACTTTATAGCTGCTGTGGAAATGATATAAATGTCATTATATTTCAGATAGTACCTATATTCTGGAGAATAGAAATGTATCAGTTTGAACAAATATACTGTGAAGACTGGCTTTCCTGTTTAGTACCAGGCCCATATTGTTAAAAAAAAAAAAATGACAAATTCACAGTTGTTTTATGGTGGAAAATAACAATTTGGAATAATATAAAAATATACATATTTTTAGAGATGGGGTCTTGCTGTGTTGCTCAGGGTGGATCGAACTCCTGGCCTCAGGCAATCCTCCCACCTCAGCCTCCCAAGTAGGTGGGAATACAGGTGTGATCTGGTATATTAAAGAAGGCCTTTTACCTTAGATAAAATTTTGGAGACTTGGTACCTGCTCGGATATGCAAGTGGATTCCATCCACATATATGTGCAGAACCAAATGGAGCTTTGTTCATGGGCTTCTCTTTCTCTATCTGCTTTTTAAGTCTCAGTGTTTTTCAACATTCCATAGAGAACACTGCTTTAATGGATGTCTGCAAGGACCTGCTAGATCTAGACTGAGGTCTCAGCATGAAACACGAAGCCCTTTACAATCTTAGGGTAGTTATCAGATAGTCTCTGTCACTGTGTCATTGAGAATACTAGACATGGCATAGAATCTGAACTCAGACGACCTAGGTTTGTATTCTGCTTTGAGCACCTTTGGTGGGCAAGTCCAGGGTCTCTGTTCTCTCACTTGTTAGATGGAGATTATAATGATACTTGCTTCTCAGCTTGTCTTAAGAAGTTAATGAAATTATTCAAGGGAACCACATAAACTATTAAGCATTGTAATTATTACTAGTCATGATCATATGTGATCACTATATTGTATATAAATGGACTCATTAGAAGAGGAAACTATAACAAAGGCAATTACATAGAAGGAGAGAGATACACAGACCACTTGAATCAACACTACATGGTAGCTGAAAGTAATAGCCTTTCTTAATTATCTACCTCCCAGGCTCTGGAAACAGAATTGGCTCTCTCAATTATCTTGATCCTGTCATACAATATTCTAGAACCAAATTTCCTTCCCGAGGCTCAGATTTCTTGATAGAAATTGGACTTCCCCCCCTCAAGGAATATGGCATATTTCTGCAAATCTTATTCCCTCTCCTCTCTCCTAGTTTCTCCTTTCTCCATCAAGTTGAAGCTCATGTTCCAAATTTGGGGGCAAATAAGAAGTACAGGGGAGTCCCTACTCATTGCTCTACAGGGCATGTTAGGAGACTCCATCTTCCTCATAGAGAAATAAATGCCAGCCTTTAAATCAAGAGAGAATTTTACTTCTTAAGAAGCAAGAGTAATCCACTTTAGACTTCTGCTTTTTTTTAAAACAATTCTTGTTCCTTTAAATTTGAGTTTTCTTTTTCTTAGATTGTACAAAAACATGAAATCTTATGTCATCGTATATCATGGTGTGACATCCTTGTTAAGACAAATTATCTAGAACTCAGAAATAAAGTAAAAGTTACCTGTAACCCTTTTCAGGGCCACGTGGGAGCACTAACAGGTCTGCCCAAAGGGCAATGTGCCGTTGTCTGTTTGCTAACGACAGCTGATTAGGGCCCAAACTCTGTGAAGTTACATGTTAATGCACAGATTTTTGTTTGGTAAAGTTGCAAATGATTTCTATCCATTAGAAAAAATACCCGCCAACATTCTAATTTTATTGCCATGTGGAATATTATTCCATTTTGTCTCTAACTCAGCAAAAGGATTTCATTTTGCCTTTCCTGGTGAACTGTTGTACCTGATCATCTTTGAACCCATTTATCATCTTACATGTTCCCTCATTAATGGGTTAAGTAAGTCTTTGACAAACGTTTGTTCTACATTTACAAAAAAGTCGTGTTTTTCGAACTTTTCAAAAAGTATATTTTGATAGCATACAGGCCTGGTGCCCATTTGGTGAGGGTGCAGAAGACTGCAGGCCTTGCCGCAAAGTCAGCTTACAAAGCCAGCCCCTGGCTGGCATCTGGGAACTTGGATTTTGGGAGGGTTCCCATCACCCTAATAAGAGTGGCTCATATTGTCTAAAACTGTTTGTACAAACAATATGGTTTATGATGAACACCTCATTTCCTTCTAGGAGTCTGGAGTTTGAGTCCACACTAGGCCTGACCAGCCCCCCAGTAACCACAGTGGGCGTGGAGTCTCTAATGAGGTTCCCTCATCAGGTCCCTCAACATGGGGTTGCATGTTGCCACAAATTGTTGCTGGGGCAATGAACACATTGACTGCCATGTGAGTTGTATTTAATTCACTCTGGTTTTCAGCCCGGGGCCTCGTGAAGCATATGTAACTCATATATCTTTTCACTTTGGGAGTCATGTGAACTATTTTTCAAGTTGCATATAACTCACGCACAGAAAATGGTAAAAAAGAACAAATTTTTCATTAAATTCGAAAGGACTGTTTTGTTTTTGAAGTTTTCATTCTATTTTCGTAATAAAACACTGTGGCCCCAGGAAAAATTTTTTTTTCTTCCTAGCGTGGCAGTCAATGTGTTAAACATGTCCTCTGTGACTTCTCTGGGAGGGGACCCTTGGAAGCTTGTGTGTGGTTTCCTCTGGACTTTGTCCCATACGCCTTTTCCCTTTGCTGATTTTACTTTGTACATTTCGCTGTAATAAATCATCCCTGTGGGTACACCAGTATGACTGTAACGAGAGTATTGTGAATATTCCCAGCAAATCACTGACTATGGGCGTGGTCTTGAGGGTCCCCTGACAAAGTTAGTTACAGGCATTTTTACATAAAGCTTCTGAACTGTTCTCTTAAAATAAATTGGCTAGATCCTGTTTGATATGAAGCAAAGCCCAGATTTCATAAAGGAGGACTAACCCTCCCAAGGTCACTTGAATGAAATCCCCACATTTCTTCTCTAAAACCCAAATATTTGAAGTCAACTCACTGGTGTCCTGATATGACCCATCAGGGCAGTGAGTAACACAGCTGTTGGTTTCTTCGTTCAGGAAGTATCCGTATTTACAGGACAGGCACTGGTCGCCGTGGCTGCCGAAGCAGGCTTCACAGTTGGGGGCACACTTCCTGCATCGCTTCTTGTCAGCATGGTAGTGGCCAGGGGGACAGCTGGAGACACAGATCCTGCGTTGTGGAACAAGAAGAAAGAAGGCAGCATCACTAGCGACTCAGTCCTCAGCCTTCTCCTGGAGGTGCTAAGCAAACAGCTGAACTCAGCCTCAAACTCAAGTTTCAAGCCAGGATGCCAACACTACATCCAGAGGGACTAATTCTGTTTGTTAAAAAGCTTCTTTCTGCGCAGGCTGTTGAAGTAGCAATGCAGTGACCCAACATCACATCCACCAAGGAAGGCATCTCGTGTTGCAAACTATGTTCTAGTTTGCATCTGGCTCTTTAAAAGGAATGATGGTTAGAAACTGAGTCTTAAGAGGAAGGCTGCGGTGGTGAATCACCACTAAAAAGATAAGTATGTGAGATAATGCATATGTTAAACAGCTTGATTTAGTCATTCCAAAATGTGTGTGTGTGTATATATATATATGTATAAGCATCACATTGTGCAGCACAAATATATACAATTTTTACTTGTCAATTGACACAAATAAAGAAAAAGGAAGGTCTAGAGGGGCACGTGCTTAGCTGGTCCTTCCTCACCAACCCTCCAAATGTGGGAGAAGACATTTGCAGTTTCATAGCATGCATGCACATATGACATGTTGTAACTCAGTATAATTTTCATCATTTGGAATTATACAGGGAGGCAGTGGACAAGCACAGTGGCCTCTTTTCTGTGCTTAGGTCCTGGCGGGAGAACAGGAAGATGCAGGCTGCTTTAATGCACTCCGTGGCATTGGCCCTGTGGGGACACCTGGGACATGCTGCAGGGATCTCATGTGGCCTCTCTCTTACCTGGTGTTGTTTTTCAGCTTGTAGTAGTAGTGCAAACAGTCATTGCAGTGGTCTGGTCCTGGCCCGTCACAACCAACCTCACTGCACTCAGGGTCACAGGGACCTTGCCAAAAGAGATTAGAACAACAGTTGGAAAAAATGATTATAGAGCAGGTCAGCTTTACCTTGAATTTAATATAAAATAAGACTTTTTTTCTTATGCAAAGAGAGTTTCTTTAAGATGGAGGAATAATGGTCAATGTGGCTGTAAGTCCAGAGATGAACCCTTGACATTTTTGACTTTAGACTCTTAGGCAACCTCAACTGACTGAGTATCAAGAATGTAAATCCTAGTCATGGCCTGGTCTTCAAAGCACATATGGCTGCACAAATATTTCAGCATTCAAACGAACTGTAGCAACTGGAAAAAACCAACTGCAATTAAATATGCATAACAATAAAAATGTTGGATTCATAGAAAAATGAAAAGTTGTTGACAAAAAAGAAAAAAACGTTATTATTCAATGTCTGGACCAAATTGCTTGTCTCATCCATGGTCATTAAAGCCATTGAATACCTCTGAAATACTGTGGCCAGCAAGAAATATCATTATGGCATCTGGCACAAGCTTATTAGTATCTAGTCTTGGATTACAATGCAGGTACTTCAGGCACAGATAATAGATTTAAAATTGCATCCTTCCAAGGGCCAATGGGCAACTCAACAGAAGAAAATGACATATAAATTAAAAAAATTTGAGCAAGCTTAAAGAATTCCAGACCTGGAATGAAGGTTCCATCTCTCTTGCTACATATTCTTTGGTATAGAACTTGAGAGAATGCACAGTAAGAAAAAGAAAAAAGCTGGGAAGATGGAGTTATTTTATGATTTATGATTGATGCAAAGTTGTCTAATGACATGTGCTCCTGATAGAAGTTTCTAATTCTCTTTTTCTTTGTTCTCTATATTTTGGGACATTTGGACTTACAATCTTCAAAATCTTTCCCACTGAAAACTCATATGACTTTAACTAGCCATAAATATATTGCATGAAATGTGCAAACAGTAAGTCAAGGATACCAGGAATATTTTGAATCCTACTTATTTTAATCAAAAGGATTTACTATTGAACTTTGGATTCCTCTAGTCATTATGTGACCATGTTTTATAATTACTGAATCACAGACACCTAAAATGTTAGAACTGGGGTGAACTGACTTAGAGAAAAATCTGAGATTTTTCAAATATCCTTACTTTACTGATGAAAAACTGATTTTCCAAGCATTACACTATGGTCATTAAATGCCACTGAATACATCTGAAATACTGTGGCCAGAAAGAAACATCAAATGGCATCTGGCACAAGCTTATTGGTATCCAGTCTTGGATTCCAAAGCAGTACTTCAGGCACAGATATCCTACGGCCAGGAGAGTTGGCATACATATAGGTCCTGATACTTATTTACAGTTTCCTGCTTAGAGGCAGCAAATCATATACTAGAGATGACCTCTTGATCTGAAAGGAAATACATCATTTCAAAATGCTGTAGACTTGAAATACACTTCTGATTAATTGCAAGAGTCATTTGACAGTATCATATATTTCTATTTTCCCCAAAGCTTTAAATGGATCTCTAAATTAAATTCCAGAGCTAGTACAACTTGGGACAGTTTAGCTGTCTACCATTGTACACCAAGGGAGTGGCGTCTCTGCTGCATGAGGGTTGAAGTTCAGCCAGCTGTGGTCTCACAGTTCCTGGGGTTCGATGAAACCGTACGGGGATCTGGTTCTGATAATGCCATCTGTGCCTCTAATCAGGCTTACTTCTAAATGTAGGTGAAAATCACAGCTCCAAATAAGAGGAGTCACGGGTGGCCCTAAATTTTCACCAGATGAATTCTAGAATTAAAAAAAAAATCCCAAAACATTTATTCTTGATATTTGCCCAAAGGGCTCTGTATGGCAAAGTTAACATGCTATGCTGTTTCTTTTATAATCTTAAACTGTCCCAGATGCAGTTAAGCATTGTAGGTTGCAGGATAATAATGAAATAATTGTCTTTGTTCCCTCACAAGTGCCAATGTCAATGTTTTAGAGATGTAATCAGAAAAACCACAAAGATATATAACTGTTCAGAATCCTAATGTTACCAAAATTTCAGTTGGAAATATTATCAGAATTTGAATAAGGTAAAGAGTAATATTATGCTCCATTTATGTTTTTGGATACACTTTCTCCTATCAGAGGAGACGAAATGATTTGCTAGTTATAAATAGTAATGTTACAAGCTCAAAGCAAAACAAGACAAAATCTAACACAATCTAGCTCTGGTTAGTTCAATTAGTCTTAATTATCCAAGAATGTTATTAACTCTAGGATACTACCTATTTAGAATAAAAGGAATTACATGCATATTTAAGATAGTCTGTTCAGGTGATTAATGAAGTACTCTTATCTTCATTATCTAAAGAAAAATCTCAGAACTGCAGGAAAAAATATTTCTCATCTAAAGGTGTATTATAAACAGCTCTCCATTAGGAGAAGTTTTGTCCATTATGTGTTCTATATCATATCTCAAAAGGATTGAATACTCCTAGAAATGCTAGTCAATGCATCAAGACAGTAATCAGAACTATAATGAGAAGGATTAAAAAACAATTTGCAGGTGATATGTACGTAAAACATCCTGGAAAATCGACTCTAAAACATATAAATTAATGAGTTAAGCAAAGTGGACATATATATGCAACGACCAATAGATTTCCTACATACCAGCATATACTAGTTAGAAAGCATGGCATATTTTACATTGCAAGAGCAACAAGACCCAAAATACTTAGGTGTAACATTAACCAGGAGAAAACTATCTAAACTAAAAAGATTTCAGTAAAATGACGCATAGTCTATGTTTTAGATGGAAAGCTTGTATATTGTAAAAACAATTCTTCCCATGAGATTGTATATAAATTCAAATTAAATTCCAATGGGACTTTTAAAAGAGGACTTAAAAAATCATTCTAAAATTCATCTGGAAGAACAATAGGGCAATAATTGCTATGAAAATGGGAAGCAGATGTTCTACAGATATTAAAATACATCATGAAATGAAAATAAGAAAACAGTGTGGGTGGTATTGGTTTGAGAATTATTAGACAGATGAATCAGAAAAGGTGGTACCAGAAGAGACCCTGATATAAGAACTTACTATATTATCATAAAGGAAGCATCCTATGCTAATAAAAAAGAAAGGACAGTTACTCAGCCCATGATGTTAGCCTGTTTGGAAAATAACTAAAGACAGAGCTTCAATTCACACTGTATATCATAAACCAAAATAAGTTCCAGATGAATTAATGGCCAAATGTAAAAAATAAGAGATTACCAAAAAAGCATGTAACTATTTAGCTGATCTTAGAGGATAAAACTGCAAAAAATCACAAATGTTGTATCTGAAACTATAAACCCTCCTCTCTTAATAATTTTTTTCTGTCAAAACAATACAAAAATTACACTTGGGAAGCAAGTGATAACTGAGAAAGTTTTCAGCAAATATGAGACAATGTGAAAAACAATAACATACAAAAGACTTCTCATAAATAGATGAGAATTATTGTCACCTTGAATAGAAAAATGGGTAAAAGACAGTTGTATTTAATTCAGAGAACTACAGAGGAAAAATGTTTAGATTTACTAGCAATCAATGCTATAAAAACTTTAAAATGTGTGTTTCTTTTTTTTTTTTTTTCACTTTTCTTTTTCCTTTCTGGTCAATGCTGGCAGGAATGAGTGCAATAAACACTCACACAGCTGGTCACAGTGTAGACTGGTACTCTTGTCTGGATAGCAAGGTGACAAAATATTTCCAAGCCCTAAAACTGATTATCTCTTTTGATGTAGTAAATCTTAAAACAGAACTCTGTTCTACAGAAATAATTAAAGATATAGACAAAGATTGATAAATATTGATGTTCATCCAAACATTGTTTAGAATAGTGTAAGATTCTTAACAAACTATGCAGCTCAGATTATGGGTTAAATAAATTATAGTATGGATATTTAAATATATGAATATACCAATACACAGAAACACAAATATTTGGAGGGATTAAAAAATAAGACAGAAGAAAATATATCAGAACATGGGTAGCATACTGTAATACCATTTTGAGATTATCCCACGTGTGGGGTTGATCCATGAGCTTCCTTTCCTTACCCTGTGTCCCACTGGAAGCCAGCTCACCTGCATAATCCTCCGTACCATAGTCGTCTGTGGGGTCTTCAACTCGGCTATAGCGGAAACGTTCTACTTTAGGAAACTCGTTGGTTGGTGAATACGGCTGCACAGAAGTGCCATAGAGGACCAAAGACCATTCTTTCAATTTACCTTGAGAAATAATAATGAAACCACACTATGACCACATATTCATTCTTTAGCTTTGTGACTGAGAATATGTTGTCAGCAAACATATTTTAAGTCCTTCTCACTCAAGAAAAAGCAACAGAAGAACTGTGGGAAGCAGATTGGTATGAATCACTGTGTCAGACACAGGACTAGAAATGCATAGTTTCTATCATTTGCAGAATTAACTATTTAATAATTCACATACTACATATTTACTGAGCACCTCCTATAGGATAGGCCTTGATTTAATCAGCATTTATAGAAAGATGGAAAAAAACACACCTTGAATTGCTGGATCAAGGGCTGAATTTCAAATTATGAATATTTAAGAGAAGCACAGAATCTTATAGAAGGCGTTGTTTTTCTAAGTATAAAAGTCTTATTTGACCATTTAAAAAATTTTTGGCATTATCTGACTTGTTAATAAATAGACAAAAACAACTCTTTGTTCCACCTAATTTTTGAATAGAGTCATTCAATATTAAGAATACATCCCTATTTATACCATCCTATGGACCTACTCTGTCTAATATGATAGCCACTAGACACATTTGGCTATTTAAATTTAAATGAAGTAAATTAATTATAATTTAAACATTTAGGTCCTTAGTGACACAGTGAGCATATTTCAAGTGCTCAGTAGCCATATGTGGCTATTGTGGTCACTATACCAGACAGCACAGATATAGAACATTTCCATCACTGCAGAATGTTCTACTGGACAGTGTTGCCAAAGAGCATTTTCTGGTCAAGGATGCCTTGAGACCTGCAGCAAGTGTTTCGCCTCCTGTGAGTCTGGATCACTCACAAGGAACACTCTGCTTTAGTTTAGTTCTTATTTATTCACTTATTTCTTAGCTTCATAAAATTAAAGTGTTCAATGCAAAAAGTTGAACATTAAAAAAAAAGGAAATGTGCCTCCAGGCCATTAAGCTTAATAAGATTCACACATCAGAAGGAATCAACCGTAAGTAGGAGTGATGACTGGTAGAAGGCAGGATCCCTCTCAGTTTCTCTCCCACCTGGGCTTAACACACAGAATCCAGGCAAGGTCAGGGGTTAGGGTCTGGGACTAGCTCAGAGAGGGATGAATTTCATCTGTTGGCATCTACAATCACCATCAAATCGATGCCTGACATTTCTAAGTGCTTAGTAAATGCTAAGCACGGGCCTAAATGCTTTGTAAGTTTTACTCCATTCAATGTTCACAACAACCCTAAGGTCAGTATTAGTATTCTCAGTATACAGAGGAGCAAACAGAGGCACAGAGGTTGGTAACTTACCCAAGGGCAGTAAGAGGACAGACTCATATTAAAACTCATTCTGAATCCAAATCTTGTGTCCTTAAACCATTATACAGTACTGTCTCCTGTTCATTTCTAGTTTAGTAGCCTGACATTTAAAAATTAACTTATTCTGTGATACCTTTATTTTTGCTGACATCTGTATTGGGCCAGTACAATTGGTTCATATATGGTTTGCCCTCTGCCAGCTTTTCTTTGGACTCATTTGTTAATGACCGTGCTTTTTACAGTCAGGGTGTTATTCAGGCTCAGAGTTCTAAGTGGCATTAAGTAGTGGCAAGACGTAAATGACTGCTGGAAATTGATGACCTATCTGGTCGCCTCTAGGTAGCAATGCAAAAGAGAACCCATTTTCCTTATGGCATCTCTCAAGTATACAAATGGAGCACTAATACAAGGACACTGCAGGTCACCCCACCTATCAGTCACCTTAAAACATGGTTCATTTTACATAAGATCATTTTGGATCTAAAAATTTACCCTCCTAAGTGCTTTGGCGATGCCGTCTCAAAACTGATTATTTCCCTTTTTTGCCATTTCTACAGTACATTATAAGCCCACTGGTGATATCCTTGCTGGGCAATTCGTCTCTTTATATTTCACTTATTATGTAATTTTATTTCCTTAGAACCTCTGCCACGATTCACTTCAAATACTCTCATATTTGGGCCATTATTTTTTTCTCCTCTGCCATTTTTTCTATTTGTTAAATTCCACAGAAGACTCTGTAACTGATACTGAAACATGCTGTTAAGAAATAGCTGTGTAAACACAGAATGAAAAAAATCCATCCTGCTTGTTAACACAAATGCAATCTGCATATATAGGTTTGATGTGCAAAAACCCAAAAACAGTAACATCCCCCCAAACATTCTTAATAATAAACAAATGGGAAGAAACAGTAAGCAAATCTAAACTCAGTGTGGAGCCAAGAACTTTTATATTTGGGGATGAGTCTACCATTTAGTTGGCTAGAAAAATCCTACATATTCAACTGAATTTCTACTAGCCTTCTAAAGAAATCGTGTATTAATCAGAGAGGGAGAAACCTATCACAGGACTGTATGCCATAGAAACAATGATAGAAACACAAGGACACACATACATACACACACAAACACACCTGTAAACAGGAAACTGAAAGTCCCTTACCAAAGGTGTGACTAATGCTGAAATGAAAGGTTGGTTGAAGAAAAGATACACAAAGCTGATATGTTTCTTAAAGCCTCCTGGCTCCAGGCCAGTAGTAGCATTAGGGTATGTCTCTTCTGGCATCTCTAAAAAGATTGGCAGTAACTGAGGTTAAATGTAAACATTTGAACAGTACAAGGAGAAGCCAATGTTATGAAATAGATAACTTTGGATTACCTGAGCTACTGCAGAGAGCTTTTAACCCAGAAAATCATAGTAAGCTCTGTATAGACTCTGAACTCCTTGAGGGCAAAGGGATTTATACTCATAGCCCCAACCCTTGTATGCAATGCCTGGGTAACAAGTAGCATGCCCCAAGGAGGAGCCTGCTCTTGTTGCAGGGAGTAGAATTGCTGGTGCCTGGTGGTAACAAAGAGTAGAGTCACTTTTAGTTAGTTTTGTAATTGTTTAAATTCTTAACAGATAATCTAACCTTTACATTTGCAAGCTGTGCCCCTTGGTATGCAAATGCCACACTTTGACAGTGTTTGTTTCTCTGGGGTCTCTTGAAATACAAGAGCCCTGTAGTGGGACCCGCTGATGGGTCAACTGGGAGCTGGGCTGTGGTCAGGGCAGCACAGCACCATCACCATGCTGTCATTGCCCCTATGTGCCACGACCCCATGTGTCTTCATGGCAGGGACAATAAGCATGCCCTGAAAAGAGGAGGCGAGGAGAGAGGAAGGTCTTAGGAACTAAGTAGATTATGAAGAAGTGAAAGTGTCTAGAAACCATGGTCTATAATCTGAATGTCTTCTCTATCAATCCTGCTTTGTTGACAAACATTTGCTTTCTGCATAAAACGTTGGCAACCATTATATTCAAGCTGTATGCTGGAGGTGAGCTGGGCACAGACACTCTTTGACAACACGTTAACCCTGATTCATTGTGACCAGGCCACCATTTGGAGAGTGCTGTCTCAAAACTCTTCATTTCCCTTTGTGCCAGGAAGATTTTGACCTCCCTGATTGTGGGACTACTGTGAGAACACAGATGAACTGCATCACAGAATTAGGGAAAAGAGATAACAATCAAAATTGGATACAATCAAGAGATTACAATCAAAAATGGATCTCTCAGAATGAGTAACTTTCCTAGATTGGCAGGCAAGAGCCTGGTATATCCCTGTGTTCTACTCTGTGTCTTCTTTGCCCTATGCAGCCGGCTGTATCTGAATTATATACACTTTTACAACTACAGAAATGTCTATGTTAATTTACTCTATAATCGGTGAAGGGTTAGAACTGAATGTCAGTCCTAAAAGTCCCCATCAGCCTGGTTCACTGCAGATACCCTGAACAGAGTATTGAGAAGGAGGACTTTATCTGATGACTAAAGATGTGTCCACGGATAGGGGGGAAGCTAGACAGTTATCAAACAGATCAGTTTTTGCTGAGCCAAGCACTCTGCAGGGCTCTGTCATGGGCAACACGGATAACACAATCTCTCACCTCATGTTGACTTTGTATTTTTCCTTATTTTATATTCCAAACAAGCTTCATATGTTAGCATGAAGAGGAAAATAGGCTGTGTGCAGAAACAGAGTCTGAGAATGCCTGAAAAGATCTTTGTTAATGTTGCGATTTCCATGTTTTACATGTCAAGAAGGTTTTCTTTTTTCTTGGCTCTTGGGCTCATGCAGGGCAGAATACCGTCATTCAGATTAGCTGGCATAGGCCAAACTCAATGTCTTGCCTGAACCGTAAATTAAATTTAGGGAAAACCAAAAGAAAAATACAACTAAGGAAGCCTGTTTCCTCTTATAAAGAAATTATCACCATGCAATTTAACACATTACAGGACAAGGCTGGCTTATTCACAGACAAAGAAAGCACAGGAAGCTGGTTAGAGATGTGGATCATGTATTCTGAAACATCAATCAAAAGCTGTCACGTTTTGTTCTATACTTATGTCTAAATATTTATTCTTTATTTCTTATCCTTAAATTACTACCTCTCAAATGGTAATCTTGAGAACTGGAAGTATGCAGACAATTCAAAGCACACATGAAATGAATCACACAAAAAAAGATGATACTGATATAAGAGTGTGAAACACTCTTTGGCCAAAATATACCCCATCATTTTCTTCTACATAGTTGACTGATTTAAAGATAGGGAGTTCTTACCTGGAGTCTTAAAGTTCCTCAGTTGAGAGGGAGTATCATAAACTTCAAGGATCCAGTCACCAGCGGCTCGTTCTCCCCAGCAATGAATGGTCATAAACTCCCAGTTTTTAAATCCTTCCATGGAATGGTCAAATAGCCTGAAAGAGAACGATAAAACATTGCTTTATGTTATTTAAAATCCAGTGAGGGTCAAGACTCTGGTCAATGATCTTTTTGTATCCATCGGCATGGTTAGCTGGACACTAGAGATCATCTTTATCCTGGATTTTGCTAGTTAGCAGGTCCATGCATATATCATTGTTCTACCACAGGGAAACAGGACTGGGGCTGGCCGTGTAACAGCAAATCTGGAAGGGATAACCCACTGGGGATCAGGGAAACAAGGCTCAGGCTCTACCCACATGACTGACAGTACAGTATTGAAGATGTGGAGCAACTAGAACTCTCTTACAGGGATGGGAATGCAAAATGGTACAGGGGCTCTGGGAAATAGTTTGACGGTTCTGACAAAGTTAAACACACACTTACCATAAAACTCAACAATTGCTCTCCTACGTATTTACTCAAGAGAAATGAAGATGTGTTTACACAAAGAACTCCACAGGAATGTTCAAAATCACCAAAAACTATACACAACTCAAAAGTCCCTGAACTGGTAAAGGGGTAAGCAAATTATGGTATGGTCGGTCTTCTGTATCTGTGGGTTTTGCATCCATGGATTCAACCAACCATGGATTGAAAATATTAGGAAAAAAATTATGTTTGTACTGAACATGTACAGGCTGTTTTCCTTTTTATTCTTCCCGAAGCAATATATTAATATTATAACAATTATTTATATAGCATTTATAATGCATTAGATATTATAACTAATCTAAAGATGATCTAAAAGATAAGGGAAGATGTGCATGGGTTATATGAAAGTATTATACCGTTCTATGAGAGGGACTTGAGCATGCGAGGATTTTGGTATCCTTGGGATCCTTGGTATCCTTGGAGGTCCTGGAACCAATCCCCTATGGACACCAAGGAATGACTGTATATCCGTACAGTGAACTGCTACCCAGTAATAACTACTAATATAATAGTATGAATGAATTTCATATTATAACTAATCTAAAGATCTAAAAGATAAGGGAAGATGTGCATGGGTTATATGAAAGTATTATACCGTTCTATGAGAGGGACTTGAGCATTCGAGGATTTTGGTATCCTTGGGATCCTTGGTATCCTTGGAGGTCCTGGAACCAATCCCTTATGGACACCAAGGAATGACTGTATATCCGTACAGTGAACTGCTACCCAGTAATAACTACTAATATAATAGTATGAATGAATTTCAAAAACATTATGCTAAATGAAAGAAGCCAGACAAAAAAAGCTATATACTGTATGATTCCATTTATACCACATTCTAGAAAAGGCAAAACTTTAAGAAAAGAAACAAATCAGTGGTTGCCAGAGGCTGGGGAGGGGGGAACAAAAGAGAAATGAGAGAATTTTTTAAGGTGATGGAAAACTGCTTTATATCTTGAAAGTAATAGTGTGTGGTTATGCAGCTATATAGATTTGTCAAAACTCATTGAATTAGTCACATAAAAAAGTAAATTAAGGCTGGCGCGGTAGCTCATGCATGTAATCCTAGCACTCTGGGAGGCTGAGGCGGGAGGATTGCCTGAGGTCAGGAGTTTGAGACCAGCCTGAGCAAGAGCGAGACCCTGTCTCTACTAAAGATAGAAATAATTAGCTGGGCAACTAAAAATAGAAAAAAAAAAAGTTAGCCAGGCGTGGTGGCATGTGCCTGTAGTCCCACCTATTCGGGAAGCTGAGGCAGGAGGATGGCTTGAGGCCAGGAGTTTGAGGTTGCTGTGAGCCAGGCTGACACCACGGCACTATAGCCCGCGTGATAGAGCAAGACTCTGTCTCAAAAAAAAAAAAGGAAAATTATATATTATGCCTCAGGAAAAAGACTCTGCCCACTAATCTTATCCAGTTCAGGGAGTCATGCCTGGAATCCCAGTCTAGACCCTGCTCTTCCACCCTTCCAAGGATTTCCTAAGCTCCTAATTCCCTATCTGAAATCTCTTTCCACTTAAAATAGCTAGCATTATTCTGTTTCCTGTGATGGAATCCTGAAGGATATGAAATATGAAGAAAAATAAATGGAATCTTTATCCAAAATAAAGAGATGCTAATAGATAATGTATAATTCGCATAGTAAGAAGTAGGCATATAACATAGATTTGACTACTCCAAAAAATCCAAAAGATATTGGAGACATTTTCTATAAAGATGGAACCTACATGGTGGAAAGTACAAGATAGGGCAATATATTTTTTTTAGTACTTTTCTTTTAAAAATTATGTGTATTTATTATTTTATTGAAAAAATAATAAGATAAGAATAAGCAATTGAGAGTGAGAGAGGCACACAGAGAGGGGAAATATCTCTAGCATTGTCTTAGGAACAACCACGTCCAGTTACTGGCATATTTCTTTCCTTCAGTGGAGACAAATGCAAAGGTCAGTCACTGGAGGCTGATGGCTGTTTAGAACATGCAATCAACGCTCCTTGCTTTAACTTCACATTCACCAAGTACATTGGTCGTTATAATTTGACCTTCTTTGTAGATCTTCCCACTGAGAGAAAATGTGTCTTTCCAAAAGCAAAAATAACCCATTTAATCTCCTTATAACAATATATCAGAACCCTGCTTTGTTTTTTTTTTTTTTTTAAATCAGTCTATCAATGTGTTTTAGGCTCCTTCTAAAATGCCAGCTGGATTCTCAAGCTGAAGGGTTCAGAGGCACAATTTTGGACAGTATTAGGGAAATGGCTGACACTCGCCAGTATTCCCTAGAGAAAAGTAATAAACCGGAAAATCACCTGCTACCTGTTTCCGAGCCCTTGAAAGCCAGAAAAAATGAAAATTATTAAGCAGCATTCTCAAAGTGTCCCATCGTCAAAAACTTCAGGAAAAGCTGAATTAAAAAAAACTGAATAAATCCCTTTACTTGAAGACGTCTCAGCTTTTTGGAATATGCAAATGTTTATGTTAATCTCTATAATGGTGTTAAATGGGAGGCAATGATTTTCAAACCTTATCTGGACATGAAGCCTGTTCTCTCTCTCTCTCTCTCTCTCTCTTTTTTAGAACATCTGTATATTATCTACAAAGGTTATCTCTTTGAACAGAGGAGTGTGGTACTTGAGGACCATGTTGGATCTGGTGGCAGGGATGAATGGCAGGGATGAAAATGGTGGCTCTTTACACGAAAATGTTTTCCACTGTATTGATCCTAAATAGAGTATGGATGGTACACTTTACGGAGATCCTACAATACACTGCACAACCACAATAGGGGTTGTTTCCCAAGTTTATGGCTTAACACTGGACTTGGCCAAGAAGAAATTGCTGTGTCATTATATAAGTGACTTATATCCATCAAGTCCTTCACTTAAAACCCAGAACGTGTGTATGTTGGGCAAAAAGGTAGCAAAGAGATAGGGGAAGAGAAGGTTTTTCAAATTGTCCCTCCTGACAGACAGATATTGTTCAAGGGAATATGTTGCTACAGAAATGAATGGAGGCGAAAACCAGTTCAGAACCACTTTCTTCCTTAAGTTTCACAGCTCTAACTCAAGCTCTCATTCACTGTGGCCACTGTGCCATTTAGGGCACTGAAGCAGTAACTTGTCACGTAATACCTCTCCAAGAGTGCTGAACTTAAAAGCATTTCCCAAACAGTTTAGACAGAACATTTGGCTCATTGCCTCACATCCAAAAACTACAAAGGATACTTGAGGCTGCCATCGCATGAGGGGCAGTCTTGTTTCCACAACCTCAGCCAACTCTGAATTACTCACGGGTCAAGGATCTGAGTGCTGGATTAGCAGACCCTTCCCTTGTACCCTTTCCTGTCCACCTTTGAAAATCATTCCATTGCTACCAATCACTTTTCAAATCACATTCGGAACAAAAATTAAATGTAAACTGGGTACCAAGAAGAAATATCTGTAAATAAGAATTCGAATAAGTGTTTCAAAGCCTGAATATAAATGGGCTTTGTCTATGCAGCTCAGCACTTTCCCACCCCTGGTCTCTTCACTGTACACAGAGTTGGAATGTTCATTAATTTCATGTGAATATAAAAGTTGAGGAGAGGAATGAAAATGTAGCCAAATACCATCATTATCTTTTGCTGGAAGAGTTGATGGGAAAAGAAATAGACACGGATGGTTGTTGCGCCAACTAACCGGGCAATTCACAATTCTAGTCTCATCTTGTCTTTTATAAGCACAGATAGTTAAAAGAGGGATATATCATTCTATATTTTAATTCTGATTCAAAACTTCAACAATTTTCTATTTTTAGCATTGTAACATTTTTAAAAAACGGCATCATCTGCATATAACAAAAGGTAATTTAACTTGTGGATTAGCTTTGTGTTGCAAAAAACATACTTGCTCAAGACAATCGAGTGTCAAACCATGGACATCTGAGAAGGAGATTCTAATTATGGGATCTCCTTTGATCAGCTAAAAAGTTGAATGCCCAGTGTGAATATCTATACTGTGCTGGACGGTGAAGAAATCAGACACATGCCAACATGATTAGTGTGGGTAAAATGTCAATAAAACAGAGCCAGTGTGCTGAAAGCCGGAGTAGATTAACTCCATGCCTGTATCCACTTCTCCTGCTGCAGTGAAATTCTGTTCCATCAAAGTTGACTTCATAATCATGAGCTCGATGCAATGATATAGGCATGCAGTGGCACAAATTATGCATCCACTTATTAAAATGGTGCCCCACAGCCCTATCCCTGCGAGCGGTTTTCAAAGGAATTACTTTTGATGAAGCCCGGTAGAAAAGACTGCCCATCAAGTGCAGTACATCCTTTAGAGGAATTAACTCAGGAAATAACTCATATAATTACTGTAAACCTTTTTCCCCCCTTCCACTTAAAAAGTCTAGCCAATATATCAAGGCTACAAGATTCTTCTATGATGTTACGGCAACTAAATAACAAGACATTTTATTAAATATAAGTACTGGCAGCTGTGTGTTATCATGTAATCATTTCTAAAAGTGCAAATGGATCTTAATTTCAGAATCATTCACTACTACTCAAATAGTATGTTTATGTTCCCAGAATTAGACCTCAGACCAATATTCTTAGAAGTTTTCTCTTTTTCGCCCTCTTATTTATTTATTTATTTATTTTAGGGCATCTTCGCAATTTAAGGTAGATCTAATAGAATTCTTGAAGAATTCATTTAGCTCAATTGTAATTGAGTTTTTGGTTTTCTTCAGATGTTTGGTTTTTATAAGTTTTAAATAATTTGTTTCTGATATAGGGTATTTAAAAATGTACTATTAGGTTTTTCTCTTTTTCCTGATCTAAATTGCTTCCTTAAAGATGGAGAGTGGAAAAGGTGCTGGTTCTAGAGGTTTGTAATATCTAAAATGATAAGTTTTTTTTTAAACTTTCAACATGCATACTATTATTAATTCACCAACCCCCAAATGCATTCCTTCTTGTGGGTATATGACACAAGTACTTAATCTTCTTGAAGATTTATTCCATGTTATAGTAGATGGCTTTTATTGCAGTATCTGTTTTATATTATAAACTCCTTTGCAAATTACTTACACAGCATCCAGCAGAATACTGCTCACAAGTCTTTTGATGACATGAAAATAAGAAAATGTGTATGAAAAAGTTGGACGATCTTTTAAATTCATGCTATTTAAAGTGTGGTCTGTGGACAGGCAGCTTCAGTACCACTGGGAACTTACTAGAAATGCAAATCCTTGGACCTCACCCCAGACCTACAGAATCAGAATCTTTGGGAGAGGAGCCCAGAGTCATTTACCAGGTGCTCTGAGAAGCACTGTGTAAATAAGAGCTACCACTTATTAAGTGCTTACTAAGCTAGGAGATGCTCTAAGTACTTGCTGTATGTTATCTTAACTTAATACGGGTGCCAACCAACTTTGTGAGGTAGACACTATTACATCTATTTTATAAATGAGGACATTCACTTTTCCAAATTCAAACACAGAAATTGGTGAAGTCGCGACAAACCCGTCTCTGTCTAACTCCAAAGGCTAGACCTTCTTTTGAATGAAGAGGGTTCTCGTGATGCCTTACTGGAATGTAAAACTTTCAGTGCAAAAATACAATTTTAACTGCAAGCCATAGATGCATTTATATACCACGACACTTTATAAATATCAATAGCTGTCACTGGACATTTGGGTAGGGCAGTGACAAAAAAGATTTAAGTGTAAACACTGCATTTTAAACATAGTTAATTAGAGAACACTACAGGTTTTGCAGACTAGCAAGTGTACCTTCTTTCTAGTTCAGGCCATAATTAGAAGCAGAGGTATTCATCTGTAATCAAATTTAGAAAGGGAGGCAAAGTTTCAGCTTTCAGTCAGAGGCCAAAATTTGAAACAGGGAGCCAGTACATCTAAACTAAATCTAAAACTCAGTGAGATGGGGGTGGGGGAGATTAGGGAAAAAAAAAAAAGAAGACAGTTTTTCATAATTCTAATAAATGCAGTTGAAGGAAGAATCTGCTGGGATTAGCTTTTGTTTGAAAAATGTTGACACAGGTAGAATTTGAATGTGCCATAGTACGTAGGCTTCCATCTAAAGCTGCTCTTACCTAAAAACATTTTCAAAGGACCCAAGTCCGCCTAGCTTCTCCCACACGCTCCACCTCCAGATTCTGCATGGAAGTAACCATTTGCTCTGAATATTCAGTTCAGTTTTTTGTTGGGCAGGGTATCCAGGCCAAGGGGAGGACGGAGAGTGTGGGAGGGCAGCGAAAGAACAAAGGGAAGTCCACTCCAGGGCTGCTCTGCTGACCCACGGCGCCCGCCCACTGAATTATCGGCGGGGCCGGCCAGGGGAGCGGGCATGCTGGGCTAATGGGGCACGGAGCTCAAGCTGGCCTGGCGTTCTGAACGCTGCTGAGCGCCTTCCAGCGCCCAGCACCTGCGGACGCTTGGGTAAACTGTTCTTCCTCCAGCAGCTGTTCTCCACGGGAGCTCGGGCACTTGCCCGGCAGCCAGGACAGGGAGCCACTGGGGGGCTCCAGACGGCCCACACGGACTTCGGGAACGAGTTCAGCGCTTTGCAGAAAAGAGGCTCTCAAGGAATCGCTGTGGTGAGGGGATAAACAATTCTGAAGAAATTCCTCACTGAAATGTCTAGGAAAACAAGGACTTCTGGAAAGCTGACTGTGAATAGTGACAGTCCCTAAAGTAGGATGCATGCTTTGTCAACACTGAAAAGGAGAACGTTCACAGATGATAATAAAGGGTCGCTATCCTCTCGGCTCTGCTCCCTGCATCGCAACGGGGAGATGACGCCAAGTGAGCCTCCAGCTGCCAGGTCTGAGCTGGCCCTGCGCACCCTTCCTTCTCACGGGCCGGCGTGCAGTCTGCCGAGAGCCAAGCCGGGCCCGGGGGCTGCTCTGAAGGCCTCGGGGAGCCTTCCACGGCGGCTGCCAGCCTCGTAAGCGTGCGGTATTGGAAATTCTAACTCCGGGAGGAAAGCCTCGCCCCTCCCGGAGGGCTGGAACAGACGAAACGGGGACAACTCTGCCACAAGTCTACGTCTTCATCTCTAACCACCTCCGCTAGAAAAACCTTGTTTTAAACTTTTCAGAATTCCTGTTTTTTTAAACTGTGTTCTTTGCTTTACATGGTCCTCCAGAGAAATCTTGCCTTCTTTTAAAAAAAAGATAAGAGTCCAGTAGGGGAACTATTTGTTACTCTTATGCATAATCTCTGGCACACAAATTGCTTCTAAAACCTGACCTATTTACCTTTTCCTTGAGGAAACGTGCTGCCTTGCAGACCTACATGAAGGATACCAGGAGCAAAGCAGGCCTCTGCTGCACCCCCTCCCCACCCCTGTCTGTGCCTCCTGCTCTCAGCTTTCCAGCCTGGGAATGTGCTTCGAGACAGGGCCAGGGGGAGGACACGAGGCCTCTTTGCCACTAGAATAGAGACCGAGGTTTTGAGTAGAGGTTTCCTCTAATAAAATGAAAGCTTCAGAATACGCCAGATGGAAAGAATGCCAACAGAAACCGTCTTTCTTAGCTGCCTTGGTAGGAGGGACGCTACTAGTGTCAAGCACAACAAAGATGGGGGGAGGCCCTGGAAGGTGGCTATTCGTGGTTTTGGGACCAGGTGCAGCTGTTTCACATTTAAAGGGTCAGTTGCTCAGAGCAATAATTTTGGGGAGCTGCAGATAAATGAATTCATAACATTCTTTACATCTCTCGGTGCCTCCAGCCCTCCCCAATCTCCAATCTCTCTACCTCTTTTTGGTGGTTCCTGATTTTCAGGACTAAGATGAAGGATCTACAAAAAAGCAGCAGTTTAAGAAAATGCTCCCGACCAAGAAGATACACTCAGGGAGCAAACCTTATTCCCAGATGGTCTTGACGGGCGAGACTGAGGTAAACCTTGTTAGCTAGCATTGGTCACCGAGCGTCTGAAGTGCCTGTTTCTTTTCTCTGACACAAGTCACGCAGCACTCTTGCGTTCAGCACTTTGCAAAGAGCAAAGCAGATGTCAGCTGTTGAAGAATGCCTGCGAGCCTGCGGCCAGCAACACTGCAATCCACCAAACGCCTGTGATGGAATCCATAGCTCCTCTGCTCACAAGTTTCCTCACTGACGTCATTTCAGGGGAAGCCAAAAATAAATAGCGAAATATGCAGGAAGAGCCCAGACAGGCTAAAGAGGCTGAGTTTTTGAAGCAAACAGCTACAGCGGAGGGATTGTTTTTCTACAAGGGAGGGAGTTCGGGGAATAAGATCCACACATATGTGAAGCAAAACTTTGTACCTCACAGTATTTCGCCAGGATGCTCTTTCCAGTTAAACCCAGATAAATATGATGAAGAAAAGAAAAGAAAAAAAAAACAGCAAGAAATAAAAGCCTTCTCCCAGTTTCGGTAACAACAGCGGGGGAGACCTCCATTAATCATGTAATTGCGTGTCCGAAGGTTTTGCTTGCTGGAAAGAAACTCCAGGCAGGTAGCTGCAATTACCTGGCAGGAGCAGCTGAGACTTCTTTGTCTGTGGTGGGAAGAGGGCATGGGGAAGTACCCAGGGATCTGATGCGGAGGAATCCTTACAGTCCTTGCATCTACACACAGTGATTCTGGCAACGCCACACTTCATGTTTAGAATATTATGTAAGCCCAGGTTTCTCTTGCAGTAATGGGAGATGTTAGGTTTGAAAGAGGAACACAGCAAATCTAAGCACAGAAATAAAATGCACTTGAAGATTTCAGGTTCTGTACTGCTAGTCACTATTGCCTATAAATGCTATTATTCTTTCTTTTTCTCACTGTCCTAGGGTAGATGAAATTTGGGGATTTTTAAAAGCAACTGGCAAGTTCAGTCTCACTTTTGGTTGTGCAGGCTTGCATCGGCCAGCCTCTCAATGCCCCTGCCTGTCTGTAAGTAGGGGTTTATTGGAACAGAGTTGTGCCCATTCATTTATATTGTCCATGGTGGCTGTCATACTCCTAACGATGGAGTTGGGTAGTTAGGATAGAGACACGGCCCGCAAAGCTCAAAATATTTACTATATGGCTCTTGACAGGAAAAATTTGCCAGTACTTGCTTTTAAAAAATAGAATTTCCTTTAACTTCTGAAAGTCAGTACTTGGGCAAGAGAATCCAGTTAATCTGTAGCAAATGTCAGCAGATACAATGAAGTGAGTGGGGTGAGGGTTGGATCTCAGAGGCCTTAGAAGTTCGTGCTCTGCAATTCCTTTTTAGGATAAGGAACAAATGGCCTTCAACTTTTCTTTAGTCATCCTTTAACTAACTATTAAATGCCATACTTTTCCATGCTATAGGTCCCAGGCAGCTTCATATCCTCTATTGTGAGCAATGAGATTATGACATCTAAGCTCCCGGCCAGGTGGTTCCCAGGGCAGGAGTAAGGAGCAGCTGCCGTTTAGTACCCGAAAGAACAGCTGAATGCCAGTGTGACCCCTACCCTGCTGGGCAGAAGCCATCACTGTACCTGTTGGCCAAAAGCTGGGACCTAGTTCCCGAGGGCGAGGTCAGGTAGATGGCCAGGTCTCCCCTCCTGGGGTGGGTGATGGTGATGCGCACGACGACGTGCTCCAGGTAGTTGACGTGGCGGTTGGGGTTATCGGAGCAGCCCGAGGCTTTGTAGATGGAGCGCACTGCACTGTTGGGGCGAATCGTCCTACAACAGAGAGAGGGAGTTTGAGCAAACTACATGGCGGAGGTTAGCTGAGTGAATCCGGAGGCTTGGAGTGAGTACCTGATGTCAGGCAAGCAGCTGGCCACTGGATACTTACAGCAGTGCTACCACCCGAATGACTGCGCCACTAAAGGGATTAATGATGAGACAGTGGGAGAGATGTGAGAGGAAAAGGGGAATGAAGGGACATCAACTTGAGTGTGCATTGCTATCACCTTGTTAAAACACAGATTGCTGGGCCCCGGCCCCAAAGTGATTGGATAGGTCCCAAGAATTTGCATTTCTAACAAGTTCTCAGGTAACAGTGATGTTACCTGATCTACAGAATACCCTTAGAGCACCACTGTATTGTGGCACAGTGGAGGCTTGGGGATAAGCATGTCCATGGTTCAAATCCCTGCTCTTCCAATTCCTTGCCCTATAAGCCACTGGTACATTCTTCCCTGTTGCCTACAGGTTCCTGTCTTCCTCCTGTACCATGGTTCCCCTTGAACGCTGGGCTCCAGCCACACTGGCGTCAGTTCAACTTCTGGAATAATTCAAGTTTCCCACGTTGGGGACTTTGCACACACTAGTCTGCCTCATGATGTCTCTGTGGCTCATTCTTCTTCCTTCAAGGCCAAAGATTAAGCTCCACAAGGGCAGGGGGCATTTCTTACTCCCCTTTTCATTCCTAATATCTAGCTCAGTGCTTGATGCCCAGTAAGTGCGAGAAAAATAGCTCCTGAATTGGTGAATGAGTTTGTGAATGAATAATCAAATAATCCCTTTGATCCCATTTCCTCAATTGTCAAATGGGAATAATACTCAAGTTGTTATAAAGTTTTAAGAAGAAAATATACATGGAAGTTTCTAGCACTGGGCTTGGCCCATAAATAAGTGCTCAATAAATATAGGTTAACTTTCCACTCCTTGGGTTTTTTTCTCTCATTTCTTGCCACAAAAGAGTAGAATAGAAAAAAAAAAAAAAGTTCTAACAACTGAAGTCCATTTATTTTTGCTTCCTAACAAATTTCCTCAAGAATTATAATGGCTCTAGTTTCATCACTAACCAAAGTTCAAAAATATTTTTCAGAGAGAGAGAAGTCTCTGAAAAGAAACTTCTGAAAAGAAACTCTGAAAAGTCTCTGAAAAGAAACTCTGAAAAGAAAGAGGAAAACGCTAATAAAGCCCCTAAGGTAGAATCCTGTTTCTGGGATTTAGCACCTAGGAGAGACTTCACACAGTTGTTTAGTGAACTTGTCAGCACAGCCTCTGAGTCTGTGCAGGTAAAACTGGGGAACAGACCCTAAAATCTCTGAGTAAACTGCAATCAGTTACTGTACATTTTGCACCACTCTTTGGATAACTCCATGGTATATAGTTGCTTCAGTGGTTTGAAGCACACTGACTTCTGGAGAATACTTGCACTAGCAAACAGAAATATTGACAGAATAGAAAACTTCAGAAAGCCTATCTGTAAGCATATCCCCAAGTCTCTTTTTAAGAGATGCTTTTCTTTTAAGGATCCTTGGGTTATCGTAGTGTGGATTGAACAGCTTAGAATTCTAGACATTCTATTACAATGTCATAATTCCATTGGAAAGACACTACAGAAGCTTTTAGCTTCCGTATGCAACAAGGGGCTGTCTTGAGGACTTGTGCAGGCTTGCTCTCTTTGGGGGCACCCTCATGCTGTCTGCTGGCAGCAAGCATTACTTGATTTGTCGGTCTGTGCTCTCCACACACACATGCTGCCGGGGAACCGTGGTCCACTTCTCTGCCTCCATCACCATGGCTTCCGCGTCCATCAGTCCAAATCCGTAGAGGTGGCTCACTGTGGAAGGCAAGAGGCTGGTCAACTTCACTGTGGTTAGGTGCAACCTATGCTACGTACGTTGGGTTATAATGTCACTCAGCAGAGATCTCAGACACATCCCCATGGGATACTACCTATCTTTCCAGCAATGATTTGAAAAACAAATAAACAACTATGACAAGGAAAGAAGATGAATATACATTTTCCTTGATTATATATTACCAGTAGCATGACTATCATTTATGAATTGTTACTACATGCTGAGCACTCTTCTATCTTTTTACATTTAATCCTCCCAACAATCTTAAGATGTTAGTGCTATTATTATCATCACCCATGGATGAGAAAACTGAGGAACAGAGAGAGACTTGGCCAAGACTGACTAGCAAGTCAGTGGTCCAGCTGGATGCTAGTACACAGTTCTGCTCCAGGGCCCCACTGTTAATCACTTGCATTCAAAAGTGATGACATCATTGCTTTTGTAAGATCAAATTATTAATAGTTTTAAAGAGAAGTGACAATGTATACAACTTCTTATAGTACCAGAAGAACTTACATGCAGGAAATATCAATTTTCTGACATATCTAGTAATTAGGTTGAATACCTCAAGAGACATAAATTATTACCTTTCTTCTAGCATATAAAAAATTTATTAAACTTTATGCATGAAATATTTGGAGGCCTCTAGAATTTTATGCCAGCTTCTTGTCTTCAAATCTTTTAGTTCTCAATTAGCATACCTATTGATCTAAAGCTGAATTTGACATAACTGTCTCAGAAACTTCAATTACATATAGGAATATTTTAATGATGATACAGCAAGATCTACATGTGCAGTTCTTTCTGAAAATACTTTAAAATTCTGGTTGGATACTTACAATCTCCACTTTGTACTGAGCTGTCTCTTATTTCTTTATAGTCAACATGAAGTCATACTGGTACCAGTTTTTTTCTAAAACATTTTTCATTATCATATTAATTACTTTATACAAAAGTTCTATAGCTGCCCATGCTTATGGATTCTTTAAATATACCAGCTTGAAATTCACAATGTTCTAGGACATAGTCCCATTCTACTTTCAAAACAACCTCCTCACCAAAACTTTTGCTTTAGGAAACTCCTAAAGTCCCCAGTCAGACCTTGTTCTTTCTGCCTCATTGCCTGTGCCGTTGCTGAGCTCTTGGCCTGACATTCCCTCATTCCTCCTCTCTGCAGAGTCAAACCCTACTTGTACAAGTTTCTGAAGGCCTGGCTAGCCTATCATTTCCTAGTATTCTCTGACCAATAGAAAAGTCGAAAGATATTTACTGAAATTCAGCCATCTGTGACCAGTGAACTTTTCTCCTTTTTTCTCTGAAAACTAATTAATTTGTAAATCCATCTGTGCTTCTGTCCATCCATCCATCCACCCACCCACCCAGCTATCCATCCATCCTTTCTTGAGTCCCTTCAATGTGCCAGGCACTGTCTTAGGCACTGCACTTTTTATCTATGCCATCGATTGCATTGCTAATGATCTCTGTCAGCACATGTCTTTTTACTCTAAGTGTATCATAGAAACTGTTTGATGATAGGAACTGGGTCTTATATTTCTTTGTTATGTTCCATGAGCTTAAGCAGCACTTTATGCACATGAAAGGAGAAGAGAAAATTATAGCCAATAAAAAAGGAAAATTGTGCTGGGATTAAAAAGTGCTGCTTCATTTATGCTATTTGGTAATCACACAATTCTCAGCAAAAAGAAATTAATCCACAATTTTCTTGTTTTGGAATATGATGACCTAGCCCATCACAATGATTAACTTCATTAGGTATTATTATGTGTCTCATGTGAGAAAATCTGTATAAAGAACCATACAAATGTAGGGCTTATTATTTTAGTATCAGGTACTTAGCCAGACAGACTACTAAATAATAATAATAGTAAAAACCTACTTTGCTATGGTGAGAATATATGTAGGATGTTTATACATGTACTTCTGCAACGTTTATTATTAATAATTTTTTTCTGCTTAAAAAGTAATGCATGTTCATTGTAAAAAATCTTATCTGGAAAAGATATATCCAGAAAGGAATAAAGAAAATAAAAGTCATCAAAAACCTCATCACAAATTGGTAACTGCCATGAACAATTCTGAATATTTAGTTTTAGTTACCTAATATTATAAGGGATAATTAAAAAGAGACAGCAGGACCCACATGATACAGATGAAATGTCAAGTTTAGGCTTAAGGAGACCAAACTGTGGAGCTCTTTGTTAAAGTTCATGTCAATAAAACGTTCTCACTCATCATCTAACCATAGCCTATACCATTTCATCACAAACATTCTAAGGTTTTTTTTTTTTTCCCTTGGGGAAATTGAATTTTTACCAAATTATACCAGACTCTTTACCTCTGATTGGTACTCAAACCTCCCCCATGCTAGTGTTAAGTGGTTTTAGACTAGCACAACTTACCATTTTCTCTCAGTTTCTGGAAATGGGACTAACAGTTTGATTGGTACATGGGATGTGGAGAAGGAGAGTGGGGAGAGGGGTGGGCAAGAGTCCAGAACTGCCACTGCTATGCCAGGACAGCCCCCGCCTGAGCCCCTGTGCTTGGGCTCAGCTGCTCTTGCTCCTGCACCACCCTCCTCCCCAATAACTGTCCACCTAACAACCGTTAGCACATAAATGAACACAAAGAATCATCGAATACAACAAACACCTCATACCTGTTTCTACTTAACTAGAAAGTAGAGAAACACCTTGAGTAGAAAACACCTTGAGTCTTTATAAAGGCCATAAATTTGTTTTCTTTTCCAATTCAGTTCCTACCCTCCAGAGACAATGTCTGTTCATGAAACACTCCAAAAAGATGTTCAGAAAAGAGGTTGACCAGCTACAGTTAAACTACAGTCTGGCAGGTCGACAGAAAAAAATTTATACTAACATTAATAAACAAGGGGATTGGATTAGATCAACGACGGTTATTGAGTCAGTAACAGAGATTTTTAGTATTTTAAAATACTGGAAATCTGTATTTGTCCACAATGATGATACACAGTCTTAGAAAAACATGGAATACATTTCTTTATTTTCCTTCCCCCCCACCCTTTTTTGGGCTGGCAACACATCAACTCCATATAATCTGATTGGTAGTCATTTTGGTTTTTGTGGTAAATACTAGTAAGAAAATAATTACACAACAAATGTGTTGGGCAGATAAACTCCCTCAAAATGTGGTATCAGTAGGAGAAACAGGCATTAAATGGTTTGGAAACACTAATAATTTTTTATATAACACAAGATTTTCACACTCTAAAACGACCTACAAAGAGAGAAACACTGATCTTTTTGGTGACTGAGTCAAGGCTGTCTTTCCCATCCTTGTGTTACCACGATGGGCCACAGTACTCAAGGTGTGACTCTCTCCAGAGGCTGCGGAGCACCTGGCTTAGAGGAGGGCTTTCATAAATATTTGCTCAATAAATGAGTGGACTTTATTCACCAAGTGCCATAAAGTGTTTACTAAAGAATCGTAAGGGGAAATAAGAGGTCTGTTCTTCTTATTACTGACTTCTGTAAAGTCATCCTTCACACTTGCAATTTATTCAAGTATAGAGCCAATATTCACATTTTACAAATTTACAATTAGAGCAACTATACCATGCAAACAACTGGTTGTGACTATGGCCACTCCATAACTAGTCTTATTTATGCACATTTTTTATCCCAAGCTCAGAGCAAAACCTGGGCCTGAAAATAATTTTATGATGATCAGGTGGAAGTCACTCTATGAAAGCACCGTGCAAAATGCAAAAAATCTATGAAATCAGAGTACTGTTAACATTGGCGGGAATAGGAATCCCGACCAGTTCAAATAGAATTTTTCATTCCTGCAAGTGGGGCAGCAAACATTCCATTCAGTTTTAACCTTAGTTAAAATTCAAAAATCAAATATTAAAAAGATATTGAGGGAACAAGGCATGTATACAGAATAATTAAAGATCTTGAAGCGAAGTTACCAAAGTAGATTTCAGAAAGTAAATTTATTTTTCAGTAGAATGAGATAGGACAAGCTCTGTTTCAATAAAGGGGATTTGAAAAACTTGCATAACATTATATCTGTTCCTTTAGGCTTCGGGGCTATTTACATTTGGATATGTATAAGATAGTAATCAAGACCTTATAAACAGTCTCATTTATGTATGCAGATAAGCTCAGGAAAAGTCCTTTCGTCTTACACCAGATGTACAACTAGTTTTTATTCAAAGTTATCCAAAGGCTTCCCTGCTTGGAATAGTCAGATGGACAACAGAGCTCAGAAAAATACATAATATTCTCTGGCAGTTATATTCTCATTTTCGGATAAGACCAGAAGTGCTGTGAGAAGCTAATCGTTAGGCACACAAGTAGGTAATTTCAGAGTTTGAAAGCAGATTCAGTTAATTTAAGCAACAGCTTTAGCTAGGAGGCCTAAAAAACTCAATTCTAAAGATAAGCTAGAAAGCTTAGCAGGAAAAAAAAAATTGTAAGTTTCTGAACATAAGCTATAACCGGGGAAATTCGGTATACGTTTATTTCTTTTAGTGGACTATCCTTACTGGAGCCAGGTATTTTCAATCTTTTTTTTTAAATTACACTAAATGGATATTTCATGATGACTTTAAAATGACTATGAGTAAAGCACTCCATGTATAATAAAGGAGTTGATCGGTTAAAAAGGTATTGAGCTTCCTGAGCTGAAGAAGGACTTTTCTGCTATCAGCTGTCAGATGTACCATCCACTGCAAAATAGGGCAAACAAAAAACTCTCTACAAATAGCCTATGAGAAACAGAATTTTGCCTATAACTCACAAAAGGCAACTTAGCGACAGCTATCCATCACTGAGTATTTAATATAAAAGCCCAGCCAGTGTCTCCCATTGAGGAAATCATTCCATCTGACCAGGGTGACTAAATGTTCAGGTTTGCTCAGGACAATTCTAATTTTAGTATTGAAATTGTTGTGTCCTGGGAATCCCCTCTTTCC